TAATGGTGGTCGAGTAGATCATGTTGTGCGGGGTCGAGAACCCTCACTCCGCGCAAAGGGGGTAATCGCACCACGTTGTGTTAAATTGGTCAAGCGCCATAGAGGCAGTTACGCAGTGCTTTCAACTGCCGTGGAAGGAAAGCACCAGAAAATAAATTAAGTCATACGCAGCTGTCATCCGTACGCAAGGAAGTAAGCACAAGATGCCGAACACCCTTAGCAGGATGCAGCGCACCCTTCTTCATGCGACTCGCCGAATACCTCACGGCGCTTCGCGCTTGGTGATGTGAGAGCCTGGTCCAGTGAGAACCCGGCGTGCTCCGTCCCGACTTTCTAGGAATGCGAGGTCAATGTTCTAACGACTACGATGCACGACTATGAGTGAGTACACCCCCTCCCCCTGCTCTCAAAAGCGAATGACCGGTGATACAAAATGCATTGGCATGCGTTCTGCACAAGGATGACACACATTCCATGTTCCTTTTAGAGTGAATGCATACTGCTGTAGTCTTGTTACAGATTGTTTTTGATCTGAGATGGCCCCATTTCTTATTTTTTTTCCCCGGACTTTGCTGTTCGCTCAACGCCCCTCCGTTCCTCTCTCGACGCTTGACAGCGCAGCATTTCTTTCCGACAACATCCTTCTCGACAATATTTCCGATTCTGCGGAGCTCTCCGGTGCACATTGCAAGCTGGCCACACTGATGATGGGCACACCTCGCGTTGGGCACGCATATTCATCGATCGACGACGTGGGCAGACCCTCTTCTTCCTATCACTCCCTTTCCTCCCCCACCACATCGTCCATACTCTCGCTGCCGTACGGTCTCACTCGTGCATCATCTGTCTTCCAAAACATTCACACAATGATTCCCGTATGGACGCGTGGGCACTGTTTAAGGAATACTCGACTCTTCTTCTCAACAGAGTCACGCGCCGCTCTCTCTCGCATGTTAGTCAATCGACATCATGCATGGATGGGCACTTTTTACACCTACCTTGTCCTCCCACCAGTCCTCCACCAATCCTTCTCTACTTCTCTCTCCTCGTCATTTTCTACCGGACTCGCTGGTTCATTTGTCTGCAACCACACTGGTGTTTTTTTTCAGCTCTCTCTCGTCGTCATTGCCTTCATAGATACACGCATGCGTTAATCTCTTGGAAATATTCCGATTCTAAGCAATCAACGAGAAGACGGTCGACTTTATTCGTTCGGCGGCGCAGGGAAGCGTCAAAGACCCGAAAATCACCATACATACATTATCATTTAGGGACGACGGACTGACGCGCAGGGTGTACTCTGTATTTTTGTCTTTGATGGCACTCAACCTGCAGTATTAATAGTGTGAGACAAACAAGCCGTCGTCGCGTCCGTCCTCGTTCCCACCTACTATAAAATAATGCGGTAGATATTCTCGTCATGGCGGTGGCGCGGCGAGCGCCAGCACAAATTAAAGTATGATCTTCTTCCAAACGTTGATACCTGTAGTCTAGATGCAACGCCCGGCCTTCTCCTGATCCTTCAATGAGGTGTATTCTCCATTCAACACAACGCAACACAGCAGCAGTGGTGAGTGCATTTTTCGCCCACTGCCTGGGCTCTGCACTCTACATTGACCTTTACCTTGGAATCGCTCAGTTTGGGCGGCGGTGCGAAAGCGCCAAGAACCTTGCAGAGATAGGTATGTATTATTCACTGGGGCCGAAACCCGACGTTTCACAGAGCAGCGGGGTAATTAGCCAACCCTCAATATCGAGACGATAACTTCACGACCTCGGTTAGACCCCGAGCCGGCACCGTTCGGCGTCTCTCTTCTCGGACGGAGCCCGCTGGACGCCCTCTCCCCGCAAGACACCGCTGTCGCGGGCTAAGGGCGTACTGCTGTATCTGCATCTGTCGATCTGAAGAAAGTGCCTCGAAGCTGTCAAGGTATTATATATTTTTTTGCTCCCATCATCGGACTCTGTCGTCTGTCCCTCTGGCCCCTATCCTCCACTTCTACCAGCTAGACGACCCAACCGGGGTCACATAGGAGGGGGGGGATTGAACCCCCTCGTATATGCTGCTGTGACTGGACGACCGACCTTTTCGCGCGCACCCTTGTGTAGGTGGGTTGCCCTACGTCATAATCTCTGCTGCGAAGATTCCGTGTGGTACGAGGATGCTGCAACTGTTTGCGAAACAAATCCCGTCGCAGCAAATACCTAGGGAACCCGGATAATCGGAAAACTTTCGGACATAAACACGCTGAGGGGCCATCGGAGAGAATCGCGGAGAATTGCCGCATCGCAGCACGGCGGCGAATCGGAAAATGGGGGAGGCGATTCCCTCCTACTCCCGCACATCAAATCGAGTCACGGCCAACCAGTCACCACACCAGAGAAATGACCGCTTTCAGAAAAAATCATTTCTGCGAACATTCCTTGTCGGCGTCGGTTCCGCACATGAACGCGCCGTCGCACCATCTTCAGCGCGTCCTACTCGGTAACTAGTCTATCCTGACTATTTTGTGACTCCTACCAAGCTCCCACACTCTCAACTCTGAGGATAACTCTTCTGACGCCCCACCCCCACCCGGCCCTTGAATAGAATAGTCTATAGACAACGTTCTTTTCCGGGCCTACTGGCACGTACCCCCGCCCCTTCCTTTGGCCGTCGACCTGCCTCCATGTAGTGGGAGGCTACCCCCCCAGGCTGGTGGTGCGGCCGTTCCACTAGTCTAATTATTTATTTTATTTTATTTTATTTGTTTCTGATTATATTTTATTTTCTTGTATTTTATCGCTCTGCTGACCCTTGGGGTCCATTTTATTTTGGTATACCTTTTCTAGGTACGTTAGCCTGTGACCACGGAAATTGGCCGAGTCAAGTGATGGATTAGTACGGAGAGATTGAGACAGAAGGAGGTACTGGATAGAGAGACCGGGATGGTTTTTAATGTGAAGACAACAACAACAACAACAGCAGTATGTATGAAGACGCCGATCCGTGCCAAGACCCGCATCCTATACGGTACATGGACCAATGCTATGAGAAGGTATATGACGTCTTGGGGGTGGTGGTTGATAGCCGCTTGAGGCTTTCTCTTGAAGAGCACACGCAAGACTTGGTTATCCGTAAACTAGTGGACGGATAAAGTGCACATGGACCCAACGGTCACGCCGTCGCAAAAACAATACCCACATCGATATAAATGCCCCAATATCTACTCCTGTCAGATCTTCCTTCGTAGTCCAATGGTTAGGATATATCGCTCTCGCTGATAAGACCCGTGTTAAATTCCCGGCGAGGGAGTTTTTTTATTCGTGTCCATGCATGCTGTACCTATTGATGTGGTACGCATACGCACATGCTTTCGCCATTTTTTGCTTCCTTTTGCCCTCAAAGAGCAAATGTTCCACATGGAATGTTACCAGCCGGCACAAGCCATGTTCGTATTAGAGCGAGTCCAGTCTGTACGTCAACGTACAGCAACATTTTGCGAGAGGGGCTTGCACGTGTGCCTGAAACACATTTAATGTTGACGATTTGCAGAAAACAATGGTAATGCTTTGTATACCCCCAAAAGAAGCAATAACCGAGCGAAAGCAATGAGAGAGGAAGATCGTGCGGGGTTGACTGCGAAGGTCTTGCTCAGAACACAAAACACTTGGAGTACAGAAAAAAAAAGTGGCTTCGCACAAACGACCACAAACAATGCTGTGGAAAAAACGCTGAAAAAACACTGGGCTAGAGTATGCCACGGAAGGTTTGCCGTTCCGCAGGGATTTTTGCCACACTCTTCGGGTTCAAACGAACCCGCCTCCCGAAGCAATGCCGGGGAAAACTCAGTCGTACGCACTTTTCAAGAAAATTAGAAGCTTCGTATACAGACATTGTCGAGTTGCGTCATTGCGTTAGGGTACGGGTGAGGGTTTGAGAGCTGCCAACAAGATACCTTGACTCCTAATGCTTCCGGCGAGGGCTCGTGGTCCGAGCTTAGCCTGTGCGGCGGGGGAGCGTCGTCGAAGTCCCTCCCCCCTCCCCTCCTGCGGTGTTCTCTCTTGCGCCGGTCGTTCCAGACGGGAAGAAATGCGACTACTTCCGTGGCTGCTGGCGTTTGTCGTCGTCGGGGTTGCGATTTTCAAACGCATCGGTACAGGACGACACGGGATTAAAGGTCTACACACAGCAACATCAGCTTCAGCGTATAGGCTCAAACAGCCTCAAATTCAAGACCAGCTGTATCGAGCAGGCTTTCTTCCCCACTCGCTGTTTCTGAGCCTACAACTCATCCCTTGGACCGGAGGTATGTCTCGAACAGGTAGTCTTCCAGTGACTGCAACATATTTTGTTCTACAAAATGACCGACTTCTGCACCGAAAAACGTTGGCTCTCGGGCGTAACAGGTAGGGACAGAGTTGCGTGGGGGGGGGGGCACGCATGCTAGTACAACGAACCAGGTGCTTGGGCGCACTTACCCCCATGATCAAGAGACCACGCCGATTCCAACATTGGCCACCTGCACTGCCTTCCTACCGAGTCATCTCCGTGGACATCGATGTCTTGTAAACACCAGCAGGGGTACTCGTCCGAAAGGTGATTTGTAATCTTTTCGCTTCCCTGACGGTATGTCCTAGAACGGCCAACACGCCCCGGCCCTCTTGATGGGGTTAGGGAAAATCTAGCTGTGCATACAACACATGGGGGCAGTTTACGCTCAAGAAACCAAAAAAATATATAC